GGAACACTCCCACTGAGACAGTTATCAAATACAAGGAGATTCTTCAGGCTGATGCAACCACCAAGCTCTTTTGGTATCTGCCCCGTGAGCTGGTTAGAGTTCAAAATCAAGTCCTGAAGATTTTGGAGCTTTCCAATGCTTGAAGGAATAGAACCCACAAGACTGTTTGAGCTAACATCAATCACAGTAAGTGCATTACAATGACCAATATCAGGTGACACTGTTCCAGTGAGGTTGGCACCAGAAATGATGAGCCTTTGGAGGAAGGCAAGGGAGGAGAGATTGCAAGGGAAGGGAAGGGCTAGCTCAACAGAGTGGATATTTATTTCAGTGACAAAGTTTTGGGGAGAGCAAGTTATGTAGGACCAGCTGCAAGGGTTTTGGTCTAAAGGGTTCCAGTTGGAGAAATCTGATGAAGAAGAGGGTGAGGGGGAGGGAGAGCTTTGAAGCCATGAATGTAGAGTAAGAACCTCAACATTTGCAGCAGAAGCAGAACAAGTTAGAAGTGTGAGGAGGAAGAAGAGCAGGAGAGAATAGTGAGAGAGGAAGTGGTGGTGGTGGAGGTGAGTTGGGAAGAGTTTCCTCGGCATTTGGTGGTGGTTGTGGGAGATACAAGGCTTCCTGTTCAGCAGCATTGGCATTGCCAAACTGCCTCAAAACCCTAACCACACTCTACTTGGTTTTGCATTGGGTCTCTCTCTCCCTCTCTTTTCTTGATTCTTTTCTTGAACTCTACTGGTTTTCTATAATTAATACATCCTTTGCAGTCAAGCAAGAAAAGGATAGAGAGATGAAGAAAGAGAGGTTTTAAAAGAATAAAAAAAGCACACCAGCTCCACCACCTTCACCTCGGGGTTCCGTTTATTTGCTACATATTTTTGAATTGAATAGGGCTGTTTGCTACACCATGTGTCCTGCATTGTTTTCCTCAATAGGTTCAGTGAAATGGGCTGTTTTTGGTTTTGATAAAAGAGCCCCTCTTATGAAGGCCATTTGCCACATTATCTTTAATTCTCTCTTAATTTGCTTTTTTTGACTACAGAGAGAGAGAGAGAGAGAGCTACAGAATTGGTTTCAAAATTTTCATTATAGCTAGCTGTTGTTGGCTATAGAGTGAAGAGGAAGGTGGTGTAATTGAGTGTTAAAATAAGGAGAGGCATTTGTTAATTATGTGTCTTGTCAACTGTCTATCTAGCCATGCCATATTCTTCTCATTTCTGATTTGTCCCTTCCCAAAGCCAAAAACAAGCAGCAATGGCCAGAATTACTATTATATGTAATATAACACAAAGGAATTCCATGTGACACAGTTAACAAGATAGGCATCATTTACTCTTTCTAAGTTTTATGACAAATTCATCTCAGAATGCAAGGCATATTATTGCACTTCTTTTTTCCCTTTTTTGTTTGCAGGCTTATTAATTTATAATTTAGTACACCATTATTAAATTAAGAAAACCATAGAGTGGGAAACTATTTCGACTACTAAAGACAGAAGCTCTTCATATGTTGATAACCTAGAGCTGAAGCTTTGTTGGTAACTTATAATAATATAAAGTATTTTAATTTAGCTCAAGCGCTAACTGGTTAGTAAGTTAATACATTTTAACGGATAAGAATATAAAGTATTGTTGCCTACAAAAGACAACACACTGTCTTGTCCAACTGACCTAATTTACGTTGTGATAGTTTAAATTTTTAAAAAATATATTAAATTTTTTTTAAATGTTCTAACAAGTCAATTTAAAAATAAAATAAATACTACAACTTACTAACGTGGAAACAAGAAAGAAAAGTTATAATTATATATAGCACAGGCCAGAGAACAATGTTGGCCATGGGGCCAAAGTTCCAAGGCATGGTTTTGGGAAACTCCCACTAAGGAATCTATCCACGTTTCAGTGTTGACAAAACCTCCCCAAACCTATGCAACAAGCTTCTTTTCATCAATGGATCAATAAATCTTCGTAAATGATTAGATCAATTGGCCAAGACAATGAGCTTGTTCCGTTGTCTCTAAGTTCGAGTCCCCTTCCTCGTACTAAACTTGTACACACAAAAAATAAATCAATCTCCATGGCTTCAAATTATGATTAACTATACATGAGTAACCCCTTCCGAGGATTGGACTCCATGAAAATAGCCCAGGAGGCCCTAAAAACTGAAGCCCAATTACTAGACCATCAAAAACCAGAAGAACGAAAACTCGCGGTCCATAACTCTATGGGGCTCTTCGTATTTACAGTCGAGAGGATCCAAATTCAATTTGGGCTTAGCATTTAGCGATAGCTGCTTGTGAGGCTGGGAGAGAGAGAGAGATTCTCTCTTGTTTTTTTCTGTGTAAAAGCTAAAATGGCGGTTCAAGCTCTCAAGTAGTCTGCGTGAAGTAATCAAATTGGAGAAAGATATTGATGGCTGGCTCAGTTATGTTGCAGAGCCTCTGCTGCATAATTCCACACTCTCCAAGATGTTACAAGAATCAAACCCTAGCTTTCTCTCACTCTCAATTCTTCTCTTCTAATTCATTTTTAAGGTTAAAGAAGCAGTCTTTGGTCTCAGCTCTTCAAATTAATAAGAGGCAGAGGACTCGGAGGTATCGCTCTGTTCCTGTTGTGTTCGCTGCACAGTCCAATTTCTTAAAAGGTTAGCTAGCTGCACTTCCCTGCGTTTCTTCTTCTTCTTCTTCTTCTTCTTCTTCTTCTTCTTCTTCTTGTGCTTAGTATTTATGATCCCTGAACATTGTTGTTTAGTGGGTTCGTCAAATTTGCTATTTTATGAATCGTGTCTTTATATTTTTGGTTTTTGGATTTTGATAAAAGGTATTTTTGCAACTGAATAGCATTGTATTGGTGAATATCTGTCGAAAGCATGTTAATTTCTGTTAGATTATGACAATTTTTAACGTTAAATTGTCGAGTGCTCGGAAAATCCGCCTAGGCGGGGCTAGGCGGGAGTTAGCGGCCTGGGCGGGTCGGTTCCTTTTAAAAATATATATTTTTTTTCCTGTCTGTCTCTCTCTTTCTCTCACGACAGACCATCACCAGGCCGCGATTAATACAAAAGGATTATAAATTTTAAAAAAAACGCCTAGGCGCCCGACTACCGCCTAGCGATTTTTAACATTGATTGTGGATTTCAATTCAGTGCTTTGGCACTCCGGTGATTAGTGGTTAGTAGCATGAAATTGTAAATGATTGGCCTTTAAAAATAAAAAAGCTATTGTAAAGATTTCAATCAGGCATGAAAGGTAAAGGCGCTTTTGTAGAAGCAGTGAAGCTGTAACTAGAGAATGGAACCGTTTAGAAAAGCTTGAATCTTCTTACGTTAAAGAGTGATCACCCGTTAATCGGATAGTTGAGAGAACTGGCTAATCATCCATACCATAATCCATGGGATGGGAACTTACCATTTGGTGGGTGAAACCTAGCTGACGTGCTGCCATATGCAGCAAGTGTGATTTTCTCAGGGCAATTTTTGTTATTTTAAATTTGTCTTTCTTATGCATGAAAAGTAGGTCAAGAAGTCGTTTCAAGTACGACCCTTTCATGCAGGCTTATTTTGAGTCAGAATTTTGAAGTGTTAGGACAAGATTTTAATTTTCTGGTTGAGATTTTGAGTTACATTATAATGTGGACGACATTGGTTGTTTACATCCAATTCACAGTATTTCTACCTTTCTGCTTCACATGAATTACTTTTGCTGCTGTCCTGCTCATACAAAAGAGCAAATAGTTACCCTTGAGTTTTATGTTTACATTTGTGTTGACTACTGGTTTGAATTGTGTAAAATAGTTGTACAAACAGTTTGGAAGGTTGGGAGAGATGGAATTGAGGCAGGAACCAATCTTGTGCCGGTAAGTTATGTTTAGTCTACCCTTTCAAACTTTTATCGATTGTGCAATTTCAAAGCAGGGTGTTTTTCTTGCTTTTAGTACAAATTGAAGATTTTTGATATTCTGTTTGCGTTTTGCATTTGGGTACTAGGATTCTGTGCCAAGATCAATAGCAAGGGTTTCTGTGACAGTAGTTGCATTGGCTCTTTCACTCTTTGTACTCAAGTCTTTACTGTCTACAGTTTTCTTTGTGCTGGTATGTTTCTATTTCTCTCCTCCTGCAAGAACAGTAGATCAATGATGTTATTTTGACTTCGCTTTTTCCAAAATGTATATGAAGTATGCATGTCATTTGTGTGTTTGTGTTCTAAAATCAACTCCTTTTTCTGCGTTATTAATTTCTATAAGGAAATGAGATGCAATGTAGACAAGTAAATTTCCTCGTCAGTAAGAGAGCATTTGATAGGTACCAGCACAGTGTATTGCAAAACAGATAGAAGGAAACAGACAAAATAAGTATTTGGCAAAGTTCAATATCCTTTCTCATTGATGCAATAGCATTTTATACATGAGGTTGTTAGGGCCAGCCTGTAGGCTGCCACGTAAGAACAGGTGAACAGCTAATCAAAAATGATAGAATGGCTAAAGTGGCCTTGGAGGAAAGCATAATGGTAAGGCATTCGTCCATGAGGACCAGGGGTTCCATCAGCATTATTCTTGTATAGACAGTCCTTATTTTTGAAGTACATAAATATTATGTAATTGTAATGAACTAAGCATTGTATGATAACAGGCTACGATGGGACTTGTATACTTTACATTTATAGCTTTGAATAAGGATGAAGGACCAAAGGGGGGCGGAGGCACCACCTCTACACCAAAGGAGGAGGGGATGGAGGATAGTCTAGAAGAAGCCAGAAGAATCATGGAGAAGTATAAGTAACATCCTCACTGGTAGGGCTCATTCACTCATTTTCATATCATTTGTGGTCACACACAGAGAAGGTGGAACATAGGATTCTGATTAATAGAAGAAATATGTCTGGTGTCTTGATGCTTAGAATCTTCAAATGAATGTCAATTCACTTTTCAGTAACAATTTTTATGCTTTGCCGAATTAAGCTGTTAGGAAAGGTCTAGCAAACCTGACTGTGTGAGGCATCCATTTCAGAAAGTGGATCTTAAGTTACTTGTAATCTTGTAGTGTGCATGGAGAATTTACCCATTGCCTCATTTGTGGAAGAATATGATCTGCTTGCTTACTGACCCTTCTGTACATCCTTGGATTTAGCTTGCCTTGGTTCGACTATTTAGCAAGCTTCCACAGAAAATTGTAATGATGACAAATTAAAACAAAATGGAGCTTCAACTTCCCCCCTCTCCACCCCTCCATTTTCTCGCATTTCCCCTCAAGAAACAAGCAATTAAAAAAAAATCCATAAGGAGTGAAGTTTTTATTTTTTATTTTTATTTTAATCACTTCTTGTTGAATTTTTAAACTTAGTCAAATAAATAGAACCAATTTTACATTGTACCCAATTCAAGAAGTTAAAAAAAAAAAAAAAAAAAGCTTAAAAAGTATGAAATGTTGCATTGGTATATACCTTTGCCGGTGATCACACGGCCAGCGGTGGCCGAAGTGTTGTAGAGCTCGGGGCTGACGAAGTGAAATTTTTGGTTTTTTAGGAGCTTTAAGAAATGGTCATTGTGCACCAAAGTTCTAAACCTCGAATACATTTTGTGTGTGTTTATATATGTACATATATGTAATGAGTGCACAGGAGTTAGAGTTTTGTACTTAAAAACCAATTGAAAATGCCAATTGGCAACCAAAGAGGTGATATTGAGAATCCATTATATTCAAGAGCAACACAAGTTTTGTCTATTTTAGAGAGGTTGTTGAGAAAAAATGGCCTCCAATAACCACACCACATGACTCTCTCTTTCCCCCTATTGCGAGGAGTGCAAAGAGGGACTAGCCACACCCACACGCGGCTCGGAGGGGGGAGAA